ATGATGGTCTGTGTCTCTTCCACTGTTCATTTCCTTTTTCTCAGCATGTTTGTACTTCCTGCAGTACAAGACTGCTCAACTGATCCACGAGGGTCTGACACCACAGTGTGTTCAACACTGCTTTATGCAGACAGACTGGAGTGATCCTCCTGTAGGGATTAGCAGCAGCAGCTTTCAGCCTCCATCACTGCAGGACAGATTTAAATGATTAACCATGTTGTCCCTGAAAAAGGCCTTTTTGTATAATTGTGAAATGTTCATTATTTTACAGTTTTGGTGACCTCACCTTTGTTGTAACCCTCTGGCAGGTCAACACTTACCTTTGTACCATTTCAAGCTGTTCCCTGGACTTGAACGACTGCAATAAATAACTGTAAAACTGGGCTGTTCTCAAACGTTTGACTGGTAGTGCATGTTCTCACCATCAACTCTTTATGTGATGTCGCTTCTCAGGATTGGTGGATGGAGCGCCCTACAGCATGATAACAGACTTCCCTTGGCTCAGGACTCTGAGAGCAGCGGATCCTAACGGCTATTCCCGCTATGACTTTGAAGACGATGAAAGCAGTGAGTGCGTCAGTCTGTCAGCAGATGCTCCATGTGGCTGCTCTCTGTACTCAAACGGTTTTCTCTCCCGTGTTAGCCACTATCTACGCCCCGCGGCGCAAAGGACAGCTGTCAGCTGACATCTGCATGGAGACCATCGGGGAAGAGATCTCGGAGCGCCGGCAGAGCAAAAGAGGAGTGTTTCAGAGAGTAGTGGTCCTCTTCCTTCATCACTGTGACACTCCAGGCGAACCCGTGGATGACGACTACATCTAGAAACCAAAGAGCGGGAACCAGAAGGACGTCGGCCTCGACGCTCGAGCTTCTGACTGACTTGGTTTTATTAAAAAATGAGGAAGTTGGTTACCTGTTAAAGCTGCAGGTCAGCACTGACATGCACATAATATTTAATGACTCTTCAGTAGCATTACGGAGGAATAGCAGAGTCCAAGGCTGCTCACCAGGGGGCGCTAATGAGCTGCACAGCGAAACGTGGACACTGTGGGGAGAGGGTGATGATGATGTTTCACAGCGAAGGCCGACTGTTTTTCAATTCTTTGAAAAAACACAAGAACATACCTTTAATCTTTATTTGATAAGATCGAGATCTGTGCTGCTCTTCTCTTTTTTATCACACACAACTCTGAGCGTATCGTAGCTCCTTCATTCCCAGAGTAAATAAAAAAGGGTCAAACATATAACGTTGTTGATTTTGTTCCAAATAAAGGCTCGAGTCCTCGCACGACTGCAGCCAGGAACCGTTCCTGTGTCGCTCTGAGTTTGTCCTGAGTTTGTTTCATCAGAAAACAGAATAAACAGAATAAACAGAATAAACAGAGACTGTTTGTTGCTGAAGGATATTTAACTGTTAATGGTTGACCGTCAGTCATCTTTGCACGCGAGGCCTTGTGAACTGAAAGCTCTTAGTGAGAATATAGATCTATAGCTCCTAATGTTGACCTGACGTATTCACATTGTGCACTGGGAGCTAACCGCTCTGTTGCAGCTGATCGTTTCTGTGCTGTCAGAACCAATCAGAGGGCAGCTCGTCTCCATCATCACTCTAAAGTTGTGCTGATATAAGCTGAGAGGCTCATTTCTGTTACACAACAGCTGATGTTCTCAGGCCAGCAGCTGCAGTCATTCATAATCCTTCGGCTTCGTGGATGCCGAACGTGGACCGTCCTACGGAGGCGGTCTGGACTTTGTTAAAGGATTAAGGTCGTCTGGCCTCGTACGGTTGGGCCGCTTCTGTAGCCCGACTCTGCTCCACACGTTGTTGGTGTGTTTGTGGTCTTTCTGCTGTCTCTGTGTTTCTGTTTGTCTGTGAACTACAGCCCCTCCCCTGCTTTCATCTACTTTGTGAAAGTGATGAAGCAAAGCAGCAGAACGACGAGCATCGTCTCCCTGATGTGCTTCACTGACTCGTCTTCCTCTCGTCCTCTCGTCCATCTTTGTGTGAACTTTGAACTAACTTTCTAACTTAACCACCCAACAAGTTTGTTTCATTCTCCACTGTCTGCTTCTCATCCAGTGTTGGGCTGCAGGAGCAGTCGTCTAAACAGGAGACCAGGACCTCCCCCTCCACCTCCTCCAGGTCGTCTGGGGAGACGCCAACGTGTCTTTCAGCTGACTTGGGAATCAGTGTTTCCTAGATTTTCATTTTTACTTATTCTGAACCAGCTGTCCTAATCATCCCTGCACCATCCTGATGATATCGACCTAAAAATTAGCCGCTTTGGTTTGAAGTGTAATTGTGCAGCGCTGTCACGCTTATACTCGAGTTTCAGTTGTTTTAGTCTCCAGTTCATTAGTGCAACATTACGTTTCCAGCTGTTGTTCAGTCTTCTGAGAGCTGTTGTGCATCTATAACGACCGGCTGCTCGTCGAGTTCGTTCTGAAACTGATCAAGTTACCACTCACTGCATTTCATAAATGTATTTATCATAATTCTTAGTGAAATATCCACATTTACTGTGTTTCTAGTTATAAAGTTACAGGAGAGCCGGTGGGTAACACAGACCAGAGCAGCTGTGGCAGGTCTACCTGCATATTTCATCCCATTTCTGGCTCCACTAATCTAATCTCTTCCTGCTTTGACAAGTCGAGTACAGCATGATCGAGTCTTCCACGTTCCCAGTGAATGTGACTCCTCTCCTGCTTTTAGTCAGTGTAAACACAGGACGGTGTCTCCTGCCTCCATCGAGCCTGCACTTCCTCCTGCTGCTGTGGGCTTCGTGTGACATAGAACAGCGTCGATGCTGCAGCACGCTCGCTGCAGGTCGGGCCAGAGAGCTGCCTGCTGGACCTCACCCTGGATGTGTCACTGTCCATGTTTCCTCCTCCTTTGTCTTTTATTAAGTACAAGGACGACTTTTGTAATTCTGACCCTTTGAAAAACTGAGTCTTTGTTTAAAAATAAAACAGCCCTTTGGTGTCATTTTCCTAAAATATTCCAGGGAATTTTGCTGAATTCGTCACTTTCATCTAAAATCACTTAGCCACAGGTACAAGAGAAAAGGGGGTAACAGTTACAGAGGACAGGAGACCTGCATTAGTGAACAAATTTGGGGTATTTTTGGCAAAAATGCAACATTACGTTACATTAACAGCCCTCGTGCCTAAAATGACTCATTTATAACACATCTCAGTGTCACTCATACACGAGTGCTGTGAAATGTTAGCTTTGTGTAGTAAACACTTTTCAACATATATTTTTAATCTTCTGTTGACTCACTTTCAGTGCGTTGAAATCAATATTTGAACTCGACTAAAGATAAAGGCTCTCACATCAGAGTCAGTCGTGACCTGTAACCTGGGACGGCACAACATGTGTGTTTGAACGCACACTGTAACACACTGTAACAAACTGTAACAAACTTTAGGTTGGAACTCAGATTTGATTGTAACTAATTTTATGTGACAATGATGCAAAAAAGAAGCAAAAGTTGTTGGATGATGCAACAAGTGACAAAAACAAAGATATTAGTAGATTTACTGATTTCAATCCAAACTTCCAGATCGTAGAATAACTGAGTCGAATCGTTTTTGCTTCGTTCTGTTTGATCTCATTTCTGAAGCATTTTAGATGCAATGTTTCAAAGTTTACATGCTTCTGTTCACACTGTTGATTCCTGCAGGACACGACTGCTCGACTTCACAGAGATGTTTTTGTTCTTTTCAGTTTGAGTTAATCTAGTTTTAAATATTATAACTCGATCTGTTAAACAGTCAGTTTATCTGTTCAGACGTGGCTGTTGTTTTACCGTTTAACTGAAGACCAACGATCTTGTTTTTTGGGTGTTTTTTAAACTCACAAATATATTTATATGTATAAATATGTGAAGTAGGAAAGATGGAGGAGTTCTTGCACATCCCAGATTGTCAGCTCAGGCTGATCCTCCGGCCTGTGCAGCATCACTGCGTCGGGGCTGAATCTGTGTCTCGTCTCTTTAAAGTTCTCTCAACATACTGACGTCTTTAAACACTTGCAGTTTGTTTCTTCCTTCTGCTAAAACCTTCACTTCTTACTCTTATTAGTGAAATTGACTGTAATGGTAAATGACACAAAGTCTATGAGGTCAAAGTATGAAATGAAGTGCAGCTGTGGATTCTGAGGTTTG